GGGTAATTCCTCTCATGTGTCTTGAGCTGTCTAGACCCATAAGCAATCACCCGTCCATGTTGCATAAGTACACAACCCAAGCCTTTGTGAGAAGCATCAGTATATACCACAAAGTTTCCTCCATTGTCGGGAATAGCAAGAATTGGTGCTGTGACCAATCGGTTCTTCAACTCTTGAAAGCTTTGCTCACATTTATCTGTCCATTCAAACTTCTGATTCTTACGAGTAAGTTGTGTTAATGGACCAGAAATCTTTGAATATCCCTCCACAAACCTTCTATAATATCCCGCTAGTCCAAGAAAACTCCGCACTTCAGTGACACTAGTCGGCCTTTCCCACTTCACAACTGCTTCCACTTTACTAGGATCAACTGATATGCCGTCCTTCGAAACAATATGACCTAGAAAACTAATCTGATTCAGCCAAAACTCACACTTATCAAACTTGGCATATAACTTCTTTTCTCGCAAAATCTGCAATACAATGGCCAGATGCTCCTTATGGCTCTCTTCATCAGGAGAAAAGATAAGAATGTCATCAATGAAGACAATGACAAACTTATCTAAGTACAGCTGAAAGATCCTATTCATAAGATCCATAAAAGCTGCAGGGGCATTGGTTAAACCAAACGGCATTACCAGGAACTCGTAGTGCCCATATCTGCTCCTAAAAGCAGTCTTCATCACATCCTCGGGTTTAACCTTTAGTTGATAATAACCCGATCTAAGATCAATTTTGGAAAAGACACGAGCTCCTTGTAACTGATCAAACAAATCATCAATCCTTGGCAAAGGATATTTATTCTTGACAGTGACTTGATTCAACCGTCTATAGTCAATGCACAATCTAAGTGAGCCATCTTTCTTTTTCACAAAAAGAACCGGAGCACCCCAGGGAGAAGTACTGAGTCTAATGAATCCCTTATCAAGAAGCTCTTGCAACTGCTTTTTCAATTCAATTAACTCTGCTGGGGCCATTCTATAAGGTTGCTGGGATATTGGTGCAGTACCAGGCACAAGGTCTATAGTAAATCTCCCTATTTGGAGGTAACCCAAGCAACTCCTTAGGGAAAACATCAGGAAAGTCTTCCACTACCCAAATTCCTTCTACAGACACCGGCTTGTCTTTAGATTCAAAAACATATGCCAGATATCCATAACACTCATGCTGCAACATTTTATCAACTTGCATGCAAGAAACAAGTAATGGAAATGATCCAACTTTTTCTCCTTCAAACCGAATCACAGGCTGTTTAGGAGCGGAGAAAGTAACCACCTTCTCATAACAATCAACCATGGCATAATGGGTAGACAACCAATCCATACCAACTATGACATCAAATTCCACTATACCTAACAAAATTAGATCGGCAAACAAAACTCTACCCTCTACCATAACTCTACAAGATCTATAAATGGTTTTTGATACTAAAACCTCCTTAGAAGGAGTATTCACCACAAGTACACAATCAAGGGTCTCAGGCTCCACATGCAAAAATGGCACATACTTAGGTGACACAAATGAGTGGGTAGATCCATAGTCAATCAACACATGGGCATTCCCAAAAGAGATAGGTATTTTACCTTTTATAACTGCAGGAGTGTTTTGAGCTTGTTGTTCTGTGATGGCAAAAACTCTTCCTTGAACCCTGGGCTTCTTATTATCTTGATCCTTTGGCTGCTGACTTGCTCCCTTGAGAACCGGGCAATCCTTGATCAAGTGGTCAATCTTCCCACACTTGAAACATGCCCCAATCTGCCAATAACATTCTTTTCCCCCATGGTTCTTACCACACCTCTTACAAAAATCAAAACTTGGTCTGTTGCTTTCGGGGATCTTCCTTTTTCCCCTTTGTTCAGGCTTTTTGTTGAAAGACTGGGTGTTGATAGCCTTTCCCTTGCCTTTTGAGTCATGAGTCTCCATTCTTTGCTCCATATCTTGCTCAATTATTTGAGCCGTGGCCAAGACCTCATCATAAGTCTTTAGCATTTGAGGAACCTCCCTGTTCCTAATGGAAGCTTTCAACCCTCTTTGAAACTTCCTTACCTTTCTAACTTCATCATTAACAAGGTGAGGAGCAAACTTCATAAGAGAATTGAATTTAGCTTGATACTCATCAACTGTCATGTCATCTTGTTTCAAATTCATGAACTCTAGTTCCTTTCTTTCCAACACAACTGCAGAAAAATATTTTCGATAGAAGGCCTGAACAAACTTGTCCCATGTAACCTCCTCTCCTCTCTTAGAAAACCCATCTTGAACAACTGTCCACCAATCATCAGCTTCACCTTCTAATGTGAACACTGCTAGCTCCACTTTTTTCCCATCAGTACATTTCAGGAGCTTGAACATCTTTTCTAATTTCTTAACCCAAGACTCAGCCACATCGAGATCAGGAACTCCCTTGAAGCTAGTCGGGTTCATGTTTTGAAATTGCTTCACCAATGTCAACTGCTCATTTCCTTCTCTAGAGTCCACTATTTGCTGTGAATTGCCACCAGTGTTTTGTGAGGCATTATTGTTGTTCTGATGTTGAAGATAATCCTTAAAGATGGAACTCATATCCGTAATGGCCTTTTGCATTATGTCCATTCGGGTATTCACATCATCAGCAGGAGGAGTAGAAGTATTGTCTCCTTGACTCATCTTTCTTCTCCGGTACTGATACAAACAAAGAGTGCAGAACTAATAGTTAGGCAAAATCTAATCCTATGACACTAGACTCTAACTCATATGGCAGATCAATATATTAGCAAAACCTTGGCTCTGATACCAAAAATGTAACACACCTCCCTAGGCACCCTTAGTCCTAGAAGAGTTCGGAAACAAAATTTATAATAAAAGATTGCAACGGAAAAAAAAACACTTTTGAAAAAAGAAGATCATAAATACCTGTAAAGGAAAACCACTTTAACAAGTCGATATATATATATATTGAAAAAGTGCCAAAGTATTCAAAGTTATAAAATAAGCCAAGCTAAACTCATTTATAATTAATTTAAAAGTTTTATACATAAAGCTAATTTACACAAAAATTATACGAGGCAAATTCTTCTTCAAAGCTTTTCAAAAAAACAAAAGCTGAGTCATGGTTTTGGTAACACATCGATCTGCCTCC